TGCCATGGGTTGCTTCTAAACTTAGAAAATCTCTGATGCTGAGGAGCTGACATACTCTCTTTGATCATGAATCGACTGCTGTTAATATAAAGGAAAATCAAAAGCACGCTCTTTTCAATAAAAAAGTGTCTCTCTCAAAATTGTTCAAAAGATTGGACAATAATGTGCACTATAAGAAAACATGTTAAACATTCTAATGACTTGAGATGGTCCACTGACCAATCAGGATGGATGCTACAAGATATATTTATGTATTTAAAACAGGGATAGTGCACATTAATGAACATAAAGATGTAAATATGCCAGATTATAGCCATAGGCTAATTTCCATCTGTAGTCCCTTGGCAGGTTTGTGGTGAACAGGTAAACAAAATTATATAAAACAATGATGACAAGCAAAACCAATACAACAAGTAATGAAAAAACAACAACATATACTGTACATCAGTTAACAGAGATACAAATATATATACCAGTATAAAGAGTGGCTGTTTGATTTTGTCCAGAACGAATCAGTAAAAAGTGACCATCAGAGTTAAAAGTGCATAAGTGCTTAAGGTGCTGCTAAGGGAGGTAAAGTGTCAGATTGTTGTACAGGTGAGATGTTGTTTCTGCTTTGCTTTTTCCAGCCTGTCGCACCTCCTACGGTGCCATTTGGTCAGCTGCAGGGTCATCAGCTGGAAGCCACCTTTCACTGATGTTTCACCCCCTAAGCCAGTACATTTCCCGGCGGGGGGGCAGTGGCTTGTTGGGGACGTCTCCCCGCCACCCTCTGCAGCTGCCTCTATCGGGGTGTTAGCCCCCAACTGATGTCCTTCCTCCAGAGCCAAAGCCAGTAGCTGGCTTTTTCTACTTCTTCTCCTAACTCCCTCAATACTTTGCGCAGGTTCGATCCTGTGGTGCCAGCACCGTGGAGAAGTTGGACAACGGCACTGCTGACAAAGCCCCGGCATCCGACCTCCACAGGATAGACCCTAGCCTTCCATCCTGCCTCGCGGCACTCCGCTGCCAGCTCGGAGTACTTCAGATGTTTCCTTTCATGGGCTGCTGTCATGCCTTCTTCCCATGGGATGGTAAGCTCAATGATGAGGACCCTTTTCTCCTCAGTGGACCACACTACGATGTCGGGCCCGAGAGACGTTATTGTGATTTCTCTTGGGAAGACCAGCTGCTTTCTGAGGTCTACCATCATCTGCCATTCTTTGCCAGGTCTATGTATGGTGTTCCTGACGTTCTGAGGTGCTTGGAGAGCGTTGCCTAATAATATAGAATCTGCATGTCAGAGAGGGATCACTATACATTTAAAAATAAGTAGTGACACTGATTGTCTTCTACGTATTAGCCTGTCTGTCTGATTTACACTCTGAAAGTCAATTAAGGTTATTTCAAAGCACAGTTGATCTGTTGGGATGTTCCCTTCTGATAAGTCTACATGTCGTATACAAGTTCAATTAAAGGGATACTTCACCCATTTGCATTAAGCATTGTATGAGTAGTAAACTGGTAGTATTTTTGAATGTTCGTACATCCAGCCCTCATTTCCCCCCTGAGACAGGAAAGTTCTGTATTTCTAAGTCTGAAAAGGAGCTTCCAGTGACGCAAATATCATCAAATTGCGTCACTAGAAGCTGTTGCGGTTAGCGGGGTGAAACTACAACGCTAGTTCCTCATATTTTAGACCACTGAAGCTACAGACCAATCACAGATCAGTGGGTGGGAACTCACGCCCAGAATCAAAACTTAACGTCCGCCATATTACTTGGAAGCTATGCTAACAGGCTCTATGGAGAAAGCTGATAATGACAAAAAAATATACATATAGCGGCGAGATGGCTGCTGCCGACAGGCCGGTCTCGCGTTTTGGCATGCTGCCGGGCTGCCGGGGCCGTAGCTGGCCACCGCTAGCCACCGGGGCCGCTAGCCGCCGCTGGGCTCTGGGCCGCCTCGAGCTGGGGTGGACTGGTAGTGTTGGTGCTCTCACTGTTTGCCTATGGACACAGACATAGATTCTGTTTTCTGCCAGGAATTTCCAAGATCAATTCTGGAAGAAGTCTCTGAATCAGTTGAGGAAATGGCCTTATGTGTTGAAGTAAATATGTCTGTAAATGTTTTTATTACTATATTTTTACTGCTATACCGTATATTTTGGAGAAACTGTAACGATCGAATTTCCCTCTGGGATTAATAAAGTATTTCTGATTCGGATTCTGAAATCGAGGACCTTAGTGGGAGTGGCCTGTCGTGCTGTGCATTCTGGGATTTGGTGTCTTTCATCCACATGAGCCAAAAAGACACTTTCAGTCTTTTCTCGGCCAAGAAGGCACCAACTTCAAAATGTATTTCACATTTCTACTACATATATGACCCAATGTCAATACAGATTCATGTTTCAACAGGTGAAGTATCCCTTTAAGTCTTTTTCTAGCCCAGTATATTGTTGTTAAGTTTCTTTGTGATTCCATGAACTAAAAGGCAATTCAACTACATAGAGGCTGCACAAGTTTTGAAAATTGCATTGATCAAATGAACCTTATTTCCAATCCCACGCTTGACAAAGACGCCTTTCTCTCTCTATGACATCTGACGTAAAATGTTTAGAGTGCAAAAAAAAAAACAAGATACATACATGCCATGTGAATTCAATGTACAATGAACGAGAGGAACATTGTCCTCTCAACAACCAAAGTGCTTTTTGCTGCTACATACATTCTGAATTGTTCACTGTGGAGACCCTTAAAAAGTGCTTGCACGGCTTAATACTGCTGCTCTTCTTCTACAAGTGCTTATACATGCATCTAGTGCAGAACATACCTGAACCACATTATCCTTCAGCAGGGGCTTGAGAAGGATCCGCCATCATCTATGCATCTGGTCTGTGATGCATGTGTGATAAATGATTCAAGATGTTCCCTAAGAAGGGAGAAAGTTACACAATATCACTCAGTATATAAGAAAATGGGGGCACTTTGCAGAGTAGCCCTACTACCCTGGCAAACAAGGTTTTTTACAAAACAGCCACAAAAGAGGTACATACCATGAAGTATTTTCTACTGTTGTTTGGTTTTAATATCTCCTGCTTCCTGTTGACTGGGAGCTCCTCGGTTAGTGATCTGTCTGCAGCTAGAACAGGATTTGGAAAAGAGGATAAAATATCACATAAAGCTTAAATAAACGAGTATAAGAATAAATATTTTAAGAGGACTCTGAGCTCAAAGAATCAAAATATTGTTTACTTCAGGGAACCAGTGGGGTATATGCTTTTAGCTTTAGAGTAAACTGAGTGTTAAAAAAAACTCAGACTGCAGCACAGGGCTTCACTGACTAATATGTGAGGCTAAATCCTAAAACGACCAATTCCAATCTGAACCATCAAACTGTGTGAGATCAAAACGAGTGGGAGTATCATTTTGACTAGAAAGAAAATGTTCATTTAACTTGAATATTACAACTAAGATCTGGAGAACAACTTCATGAAAGAGCTTAACGACGAAGCTCGGAAATAATTATGAATTTGTTTATTTACTTTCTGCTTCATTGGCACTGCTGTTCAAAGAGGGCTGTACGATTTGTGGTTATTTACTTTAATATCGTGTTTTCATTTAAAGACTATTTCGGCGAAGTAAAATGTTTAACAACTGTTACACTTATTGCTACAGAAAGATGAAAATGCCACAGGCTCCAACAGATGTAATGGTCCGGCTAGACAACAAACATAAAATCTGCACAGCCAAAATGCTTCCCAGTAATGCCTTCAAATGATCTTGGTCTGTGAGTCCAACCGAGTATCTGTGGCAGTATAATTTGAGGGGAAATGTAGTGTCTAAATGTGTATGGCTAATGGACCTATCCCCATCACATGGCAGAGTCTCAGAAACTCCAGGTACGGCTGTTTCCAAATGGTGCCTTCAGTTATGTTACAGAGTGGCATACAAAAAAAGAAAGAATGTAAAGGGTTTGGGTGCATTTTTGTAGTTCTGCTTTCTTGTACAAATGTTGAGGTGTTTGAATTGGTCAATGACGGCTTCAACTGAGACGGATGCTAAAGTTAGCTGGTTCAACACAAAACATGTCTCCACGGTTCAATCTCTAAAATATATTAAAGTTTGTTAACGTCGATGTCGGTTCAGAACAGTATGATTTGCCTGCAGGAAGCTTATGACAGCCGACCAAGGGACTGTCATCATTTACAGGTGTTTTATTTTTCCCCATTAAAATGTTGACGTTACTATGACGCCATTTCCGCCGTTTCCTTTAATCCAGAAAATAAACTTTGATTACATTGTTTTTTATACATCCGTAGGCTACTAAGCCTACTAAAACAATCAAAACGTATGGGAACATAAAAAGCCTTAACAAAATATCCAATGGAGAATGTTTGTCTTTAACCTACAAATATATGAGGAAAATTAAACTTAAAATTAAATAGACCAGAGGGATTTGAAAAAAATCAATAAATAGTCTTTATCTTTAAAGTAAGCTTATAAACATACACATACACCATGGCATATAAACTGGAGCAAGGACATCGAGATCAAAAACAAGCAAAAATAATTAGAAAATTCATAAATCAGTTAAGGGGGGCTTACTATTTCTTAGTGAATATGATATTCACACATTAGGCTAACTTTAAAATCTGGAATTTCTGTTTGCTTTGTTGCCACTTTCTTTTGTCAGGCTACTTGGGCTGTGACATCTGGTGAAGATCGGTGACTTTAAAAACTACATCCGGTCCCAATAATAACATTACTGCTGCTTAAATTAGGCTACAATGTAGTTACAGTAGGAGTGTAATCAGAAACAGTTAATTAAACTGTGGCCGGGTGTAGTCTATTTTGCATCAAAATCGGTTGAATTTTAAGCACATTTTGCAACAAGTTTCCTACAATGGGTTTTATTTTGGAGTGTATACCGGATGCGGGGTGCGGTAGGCTACTCATCTATTTGAATATCTGGATCACTGAAGGAGCGCTGCTGCTGCTGCTGTTGCTGCCAACCATACAGTCAGTGTGGGATAAACTAGCGCTGAGAGAGGCGCATCACTCCTCCTATATTCTCTTTAAAGGAAACTGCAAAACATTCCTGGATTTTTGTTGTTGTTGTTTTTTGCTGTTGTTATTGTTGTTGTTTTCGTGAATTTCTTCACTGGTTAGTCATGGGGAACCTGTTCTTTACGGGGATGCATCCAGCTGAAGAGTTTTTACGCATCGCATCTCTTGGTTATTTTGCAAAGATCGCGGAGTAGTAAAACAATAAAAACTTCACAAGGTACAAGAGAAGCTGCGCTCTGCGTGTGCGTGTGTATACAATGAGGTACGGATTGGTGATCCTTGCTGCTGGTTTCACAGCTTTGCTCAGCTTCAGCCTCCTCGCTTTGGCTATTGGGACTGATTACTGGTACATCATCGATGTTAACACAGCCAACCACACAGGTCCTGACGACCTGAGTTCACATTCTGGACTGTGGAGAATAATTGAAGGTATGTGAATTCTACCTAAGCCCATTCTTTACAGATCGAATTTGTAGACTCTTTCACTGAGAGAACATGATATATGAGCTGCAAGAAGTCCAGACAAGTCCAGACACTCACAACTTTTACGCTACGTCTCATATTATGGTTCTTTTTAAGGATAGATATTTCATTTGGCATCACTGTCACTTGTGTGCGTAAAACGCATGTGGATGCATTCAAACTGATGACTGTTTTTAAAAGGATGACTGCGTCTGTATTCAGAAATGTTCGTGGACAGATAAAAGAATATGAGCCAATCGATCATTTCTAATGTTGAAAAAAGAGGGAAATCAATGTAGCAAACTAGGTGTTGATTCTGATGAGCCCTAACATGTCCGTTATCCATCGATCGTGGGTCTCGGATGTTTGCTGCGTTACGGGGATTGTTGTCAGTGGCTCACGGCTATAGCAATGATTTATTTGGCATCACTTCACCCAGAAGGTGGTGAAGAACTCAGATGTTACAAAAGTGTTTGCAGTGATCTCAGCTGTGTGACACGGATACTGTAAACCAGTACATTCAACTTGGAGAAAAACGACAACGCGTCTGTGAGCCATTAAGTCCTCAATGAGATATTTCACTTTTCAATCACTGAATGTAATGAACCACATAAATATATAACATATGATAATGGGTCCATCCAACAATCTACCATCAAAATGATATATTCCCCTTTCCAATTAATAACTATAGCAACGTTAACCCCTGTACAAGGATGCCTGCAGCTGCGGATGAGCAAGGAGGCTTCATAAAGATTCTAAAGGATATTATTTCACACAGCTGTGCCTGCAACATAATGTGCCTGTTGAAAGCATAGCTTGACACCAGAAATCACCTTTTCGGAGCTGGTGGTGCACAGCTCATGCACTAAATGACAAATAATGAGCCCGCACGATGTCCAAAGCTCTTTATTCAGTGCTTGGTGTTGAACAGTCGTGCATGCAGGAAAGAGGAAACATGCAATATCAGAGTGTTTAATTGGTTTCACTAAGTATGTGTGATTAAGGGTGAAAAAAGCTCTAGAAAAAAAGTGAAATCATTTGTTGTCCAGTTGCATTCCCACATTTCTGTCCTTATTTTCTGTCATGTGTAACCTTTTCGCTTGACATTTTCAGGAGCGAACAGCAGCTCATTCATCCCTACTTTCACAGCAAATATGTCCAGCCTATCAGAGACAGAAAGGCACCTTCTTGGTGAGTGGTTTTATTTATTTACTCACATGGGAGTTGATCATGATGTGAAAAATACAATAAAACATAGTCCACTGACTGTTTTAGAAGCAAGTGTTAACATTGAACACATGAATTTACTGACAGTGAAAATGAAGAACAATGGCTCCCTGGATGACAGAAATCAATTTAAAATAAATTCTCAGCTGGTTTTCAAATAATTTTGTCTCAGCAGCAATCTAAATCCCAACTTATGTATAGTATAGAAACAATAACCAAACCTCAGGATAATCCATTCAAATCTTTAAGCACAATAACCATTGTGTGTTTTCATTCGCAGGCTTGCATAAGGTGGTGGTCATTGTGTTGCCCCTCAGCCTGGTCCTGCTGGTGTTTGGGTGGATCTTTGGACTTGTCAGTTCACTGGCCTGCAGCCCAAGCTTGCTGGCTGGAGCGGCATCATACTTTCTCTTCTGTAGTAAGTCCACACTGCGTTTTCTTATTCTTCAATTATGTACTGTATGTATTCCTTTTAGCCTAAAGCAATAGCAGTATATGGGCTTTGGTGTAGGCTTGATTGAAGGGTGTTGTTTTCTTATCAGTTTTAATTAAAAGTGTGTGGGTGGCACATTGTATGCATATGGTTGCCTTCTAGTGCCTGATAACTTTACATAGAAACCTTGTATGTTCAACTTACAACTGCTCCCCTGAACACCTGGTTCACATCAAACCTAAGGAAGCATCTTCAAATTCTAGCCCTTTTTCTGAAACATTTCCTGAACAGACTGATAGTCAATAAAACATTGCAATTTGGTTGTTTAAATGTAATATCTTGCAGTTGATTTAGGAAGGTATAGAACACAGATATTTTTCATATTTCAGGTGGATGTTCAAAATCCCATTCATACAATTTGAGTTGAATGAGGTAATAATCTTTATGCTCCCTGTGTAATTAGATTAGATACAAAATCATGTAAAATTAGAAAAACACTGGAATGTTCTTTGCAAGACCTTCACATCTTTATTCATCGTGTTTTTAGTTTTTGTTCATGTCATTGGTTAATGCACTCAAGACACTCAGATGCAATAGCGTGAGAGATGCTCTGACAGGGACACAAATGTGCAAATTCATGTCTTTTATACATTTCCCAAAAAATACAAAGCTGTAAAATGGTGTGAATATGATAAGAATGAGTCTTTTGCATTATATTGTATTTTCCTACTCTACTCACCAGTCGTTAATGCAAAAAGTAAATCATAATCTCAAGACCCGTCCTGATGAGTCTGAACAGAATTTTCAACACTCAACCAACAAACTAGTGGTGTAGCCCTCCAAATCAGACTTGGTCTCGAGACCAGTCTCACTTTTTGAAAGTCTTGGTCTTGTCTTGGAATCGAAAGCATTTTTATTCAGTCTCGGTCTCAGACCAGGAGGACTCTGGATTTTAGATCAACACCAGTCAAGACCACCACTGATTGGCTATTTTTACACTTCATCACTGGGATTAGAAGGAACACGCCTCTTTTTAAAAGAATGAATGACTTCAATTAATTTATAGTTTGATTTGTATCCCCCTGGTTATCCCCTGGTCTCGGGTATGTCTTGGTATCAGTTAGCCTGGTCTTGAATATAACACTACAACAAATATTTTTACTCAGGGGGATATTGACTAACAGGGGGGGGGGGACCTTCAGAGAAATGAAATGGAAAAGATCTTTTGCATCTATGATCTATGAACTTACACCTTCTTCTAAAACTGTAAGTTAGATCTGATAAGTGAAAATACATTAAATTTGCAGGACTATTAAGCTCTGAAGTACATTTTTGGTGTGGCTCCATTTACAGTTTTTTGATTGGTCAGTCCACTATATTGGTCCAGAATTAAATTTCCTATGAGGATTTATTTTTGCTGCAGCAAGAGGATGCCAAAATAAAACTGATTTGTATTCACAATATAATTTTGTCCATACATACTTTTGTCCATAGGGCTTATTAAGATAGACATAAACCTACAATCCTCACAGTAGCTTTAGAGACTATGTCCATTCACAGATTTCTTCTGCTAGCAGTGCCCACAACCTCAGTTTCAGAACGCTTTTCACTTGCACTTGCTGCAAGTTGACCTCTGCTTCCTTTAGTTATGTCCGTTAGGTCTGTTTTAAATAACTATTCATTGTTATAGCTGTTCTCAGATGAATCTGTCCTCTGCCATTGTTGTTGACAACGCTGATATCATAAGCCTCACCTCTTCTTGATTTTGATTAGTTGGTGAGGGAGAAATGACAATGACGAGCGGGGGTGGTATTCTAAAAGTTGAACTGTTTTTAAGTGAGAGCACTGTGAGCAATGAGAAAAGAAACAGATGACACTGTGGATGGTTTTTGCTCCTAGGACCCTGAGTGCTGAAAACAATGTATTGCATTGGTTTTGTATAAGAATGGGTGGTGCAAGGACAAATAAAAGGTATGAATGGACACAGTCCCTTTAATAACTTAACCGATTTAGGATGGATTTCCTTGAAATTTTGTGGCTCAGTGGTAGAGTAGAAGTGTTAGTCAGATTTTTAAAAACTATAACAACTACATGATAAAGAACAGCAGAAGGTGTTTTTTCAGCAGAAATGCCTGTTTGGACTTTAAAGTAAGGAGTCCTTATAATATTCCTAAAATGGAAATGCAGGCACATGCTTTTAACAGAAAAACTGTACCAGAGAGATTGTTCTTTTTTTCCCATCACATTGGTGAGTTCAGCTCTCGGCCAATCTTTAAAAATATATATATTTTTTAGAGATGGTTTTGAATTGACTTGAACTCAAAGGCAATGGGGTTGAATCTCGATTAAGGCTTAGATTGAAGGTGAAGGCATGACTCTGTCATCGCAATAGAGGGTCTTATTATATACCTTGCCATCCTTGCTGACAGGGCCTGTCTCCCCTGTCACACAGAAGAGAGAGCTTATTTCATGCTTGGTACTAAATGTCCTTTTCCCATCTCTACGCTATGGCCTCCATTCACAGATCTTCGCCACTTATGACCACCTTTATAGATGGTTTTCTTAACTTATAATCCATTTCTAAGATTTGTTTTAAAGATTGTTTCTCCAAATATAAGTTTTATGTTAAGGTATGTGCTTGACATCCACTTCTAAACATGCAAATGTAATTCTGATGAATCTGTCTCTTTGGACAGGCCTCTGTGAATATGAGAGCTGTAAAAACATTTCCATCATGGCTTCCTTGGCTTTGACTCTGCAGCTCAAGGTTGATATAAAAAGCAACTTGCATTCCATTAAAATGGCCAAATTGGTATTGCTTTCCTTCCAGTCAACAACTGTGTTTATGAATCCTTGTCCAATTCAGAGTAGGTATTTTCAATTTTTCCCCCAGCAGACTCCAGTTATTACTGTAGTAAAACTCCATGTGAAATTATTAGCCAAGTCCGTCTGCAGGACCTGCTGTGTCTTCTGTAGCACCTCTTCTCACTAACTTTCTACCTACGCTGGCTCTCCTCCATGCAAATTAGCCACACAGCTTGATAGACATGCCTGACTTGTCCACAGTCATCACTTTGAATGGTCAGTAATTTACAGAGGTTAATTGCTGCAAGCGAATTGCCAGTTTGTAATGGTTCTGCCACCCACGCTGCCACACTAAAGGTCAGTCTGAGTTGTGCATGTAGTGGCAACGACACAGTATTTAAGGTATTTTGGGGCTGAGATACATTGATGTGTTTTTCTACCTCCGAGGTAATTGCCGTGCAAGATGTGTCATCTGTCTTTTTGGGAGCAAAAAAAAACTAAATGGATGAAAAAAAGCAACTTCCTTGGTTTCTCCTGTGGAGGAAATGATCATATTGAATCTAGAAGCAAATGATGGAATAATTTAGACATAAATGTTTTTTTTTCTTCTTATAAAGTGCGTTAAATCTTTAATGATTACAGATTATTCTAATTGTGTCTCATTATCAGGCCAAAGTCTTTATTAACATTTCACATATGAATACGGGGAAGATAATCTCTTTGAAAAAGGGATGATTTTCTGCATGCATCATTAGTTTGATGACCATATTGTAAAGCCGTTTAAAATTGTTCATCTTTTTGATTATGTTATGTGATGTAGTTGCTCAAAAGTTTTAGATGTCTTTCCATTGGAACCATTTTCATGCTAATAGTGACATCTGATTTGTTTTTTGTGCTTTATCAGGTCTTTTTACTCTTACTGGGGTCAGCATCTACATCAAATACTCCAACCAGGCCATGGATGAGTTCCAGCGGATTGTTTCCCCAGAAAACCTCGCTAACGTGGATGTCTCCTTTGGCTGGTCCTTCGCCTCTGCCTGGCTCTCCTACAGCCTTGAAGTAGCCACCGGCCTGCTGCTCATGCTAGCTGCCAGAATAATTCAGATGAAAGGACGCTATGACTCAGGCGTAGCCATCGCCATGTTATAGAGAGGTTGAGCGTTGATGCCCAAGTGACTCTCAAAACCCACATGTTGATTGTATTTTATTTTATTTATTTATTTATTTTAAATCAGGCGGCTCACATGCTAAGACGGAAAAAAAGAAAATGCAATTTGCATCAGCATAACTGCAACCATACGTGTTGAAAAAGTAAAGCTGCTTAAGAATTGTTTTTTTTTTCTTCTGCTGGTTTGTATGACTGTTGCTACCTTTTTTCCTGCAGGTATTCTTCTTTCTCTATTGTCCTTGTCCACAATGATAAATGAGGCTGCACAAATAGGTAAAAGGGGCAACCCATCCACATTGTGTTTACTGCAGAGATAAACTGGATTTTTTGTTTTTCTTTTTGTGTTTTTCAAGAGCCTCTCAGCAATGTCTGCACTCTTGCCGTCCATGTATAGCACATGTATGCATACAGATACAACTCTGTTGGTCTGGTGTTCTCATTTTTCATTAAGCAGTGGATTTTCTCTGAGCGGAGTTTTGAGAGATGTGTGCAATTTCTTCTACGAACCAAATGCAATGAAAAGAGTCTAGTGAAGTTTTATGGGATCATTTACTTTTTGACGGATGGGTTAATGAGGCTCTTTGTCTTGAGGATGACTATTGCACCTCTTCTACACCCATATCTTAAGCTTTATTTCAATATAGTCTGAATCAGGCAGTCCTAGTGTTTCATTCAAGTGGAAACATTGCTGATTCTGCAGCAGAGAACCAAAATTACCAACTAGACTCTAGCACACAGTCAGAGCTGTTATAGTTTGTGGTTAATAGCATTGTTAATATTATCTGCAAGAAGAAAATAGCATTCCACAGCTTTTAAAGGTATTTCGGTCGATGTAGAAGTTAAAACAGTCTTGGCTGCTGTGTACCGTGAAATACTTATATGTTTGTTCATTCCTGTTCCTGTCCTATTGGTAGATGCTTAAATCTTGGAAACAGGGCATAGGAAAAGTGCCCTCTGGGGGTTCCTGCAGGCTTTACCAGCAGTATAGAATATGTGCATGAGTTTCTGCCTAAATTGCTGAAGTAAAAGGCTATATAGAAGTGTGATATTTTGTCTGTGCTTTTCCATTTCTAGGAGCTAGGCATTGCCCGACAAATTGAAAGTAAAACAGAAACACTAGAAATTGTACATTTTGTAATGCTGTAAAATGTCTGTTCCCTTTGTCACCTTATAGAGCAGCGATACTCAACCCGCGGCTCTCGAGCCACATGGGGCTCCTATGGGACTAGTTGAGGCCTACTTGGAAAAAAAAATCCAAAACAATTATTTAAAAAGGGAAACAATGTCAGCAGAAGTTATTCTTTGCAAGTCATGTCAATGTGTTTCCCACACATAGACTCGGTCAAGTTGCCCATGTATTCACCCCCCCCCCCACGTGCGAGCAAGAGACAAACAAATGTTAATATATACATATAAACAATACAAAACACAAACACACAATATAAATAGGGTACATGACCTCCTTCCCCCCTCTCTCAAATATTTGCTGCCTGTATAATAATAAGCTATGGCTATCGCACTGCCTGTACATGATGCCTTTCATTGCTTAATACACTGTAACTATACCTCTTTTCAAATGCTAATTGTATTTAGGAAAGAAAGAGGACGTTGTTTGCAATGTGGCTCTTGAGGTCAACCAAGCAGGGTAACCCTCTTATAGAGCCTGCACAATGCTTTCATAACTGAGCAACTGAATTTTTTATTCTAAAAGATGACAGCAATGGAACATCTGAATAAACACTGTAACAAGAAGGCATTGATGAAATGCTTTGGAATAATAATTATACACTCTGTAATTAGATTGCCCCGAAAACGTCTGAGTTGTGAGACAGTACGCTCATCTAAAAACATCATGATTATGTATTTCAGTCTTGTACAGTTTTAATGGATTGTATGCAAAACACAACAGAGAGCTACTGTCTCAGGTGAAAACAGACACCTCTGTGCCTCTGAATGTAAATGAAGCACACCAGGAGTCAAAGCAGTGGTGTGAAGAATAACTTAAAGAAAGCCTCAGAAGACGTCAGAAATCTCTGACCAATATGTTGTAGCACAGATGTCTATACAAGATGCATCAAATCAAAATTCATTATATATCACTGTATATGTGACAAAAGAGGAAGTTGATTCATGATAGTTTTGTACCTTTTATGTTGTGATGTGTTGTGAAATCTATAAATAACAATAAACACGTTGGAGAAGAGAATACAACGGAACTCAAACAAGCAGGAGTGAAATATATGTTGCAAATGTTGATGTTAGAAATACAAAAGGCTTAGGGGCAGGGTAGGCTACAGGTTAGTGCATGCGCCCCATGTAAGGAGGCTGCTGTCCTCCAAGCAGGCAGCTCAGGTTTTGAATCCAACCTGTGGCTCCTTTCTTGCATGTCCTTCCTCACTCTCTCTGTCCATGATTTTTGTCTCTATCCACTGTCCTATCTCTACAATAAAGGCATAAAATGCCCTGATATAAATCTTCAAAAAAGAAAAAGATATAAAAAAAGGATGCATATAGATGTGAAAGGTGTTTAAATTGCTGGAGATATAGAATGGAATCACAGAATCATATTTTGATGTTCAGCTAATAAATAATTGACTGTCCCGGTAACAAACAGCTCGTTGTCTGGAAAGGCTGAACTGAAAGTCCGAGGCACTCTGATGTAATATAAAAATCCTTTATTTAACAGGGATGTGAATAAAGGATTTTTATACTACATCAGACTTTCAGTTTAGACTGCCTCTCCAGAAAACAAACTGTGTTTGTTACCATGACAGTCAACTATTCATGAGCTATTTGACTTCTGTCCCCTGTTTTTGAAGAGCACCTGATTCCTCTACATTTTTTGATCCAGTGCAGCACTCCCTTCAAACCTTTTGTTTTTTATATATATTTAAAAGAATGTCAAATAATGCCACACACTAGAGCACTTTTTTGGGTCTAAAGCTTAGTTGCAATGCTGGGTTCATTTACGATGTAAAACTCCACAGGGCACTCATTAAGCAGCAACCATCCTCTGGTACCAGCAGACATTAAGGGTTTTCCACATGAATATTGATTTGGGCACAGAGTATAGGACAAAAGATTTGTTTCTTTTTAGCTGTGTTTTTTGTTATCAGGCTGAATGTAGTACTGAAGAAGATATCACTGCAGATATATCAAACGGTGAACAGCAAGCAGGGCTGAGTTGAAATCCCTGTCACAGCTGAATGATCTGCAGCATTATGAAATCAGTGTTGCTGACAGTTTTACAAAGATATAACCTTTACTTCTGAGGAACTGAAGCGCCCATTCAGCTGTCGCGTGTATCACTCAAAGGCATTAAAGCAGTGCATTAAATGTCAATGCAGTTGATCTTTGCAGGAGGGACATTTTCTTGAAGACAAAGAAAACAAAACTACCAAAAGCTCTCTTAAAGAAATGTTAAACAGCGGCTGAATGTTGCCAAGTTACAGAGATGCACTTTGACTAATGGGGTTATAAGTGGAATTTTAGACCCTGCGACTTAGGCCTTCAATAAACATGCTTTTAAACTACACTGCTAAGCAATGTAATGGGGAAAGGTAGAGCAAAAATTAGTTCAAAGAGTGTTCATGTTGGAGATAAATGCTCCTCCATTAAATGAGTGCTCCGGTCTGAATTGCTTAGTGATTTAAGTCCGTGCCTGTGAATCAAAATCCAAACCATGAAACATTGTGTCCACTCAGCTATTTGCCTGGCAGCTTCCTGCCCAGTAATCCTGTCTCAGATGTAACAGAGAGCTATAAAAGAACGACCAACGCACAGCCACTCAGTCCTGCACCCCTACTTTTATATATGGAGGGCTGCTGAAATCCCATTCAACTTTTATGGAACATAATAATTCAATCCGCTCTGGCAGGGGGGGGGGGGGCACCAAAGTTGGAGCTGTGCCATTCCTCTTTAGTTGGTGCCCTGTGTTCTTGACTGAGTGCAGTTACTCTGACTTGGACAACCTCTAGGCTCTCAGGTTTGGGAATTTATTAATGGGACACAACCTGTTTTTCATCAGAACTACTTTCTTGCACACTAACTCTCTGGGCAGCTGTTTTCTAAAAATCCCAAAACATGCAGCCATGAAATCAATCTTTAGTTTTATGAGCCATGTCCTATTTTGCCAAGCAAAGGAAGCTTTTGATCAGTCCTAGATATGGGGCCCAATTATGCTTTTAGCCTTTCTGTGCAACGACTCAAAAACATTGTGAGTCATTTTTTAAGGTGGTGCAGCTTGTGCTCAGCTCTACAACACTATGTACCCTGTAGACATTAGTTGCCATCATGGGGGTAAAAAATCATTTATCAGATCCAAGTGTGGGAGCTCATAGAGGACGCTGGACCATAATGTGCTCATATTTTTATAATGTGGCCAAGCACAATTCAGTATCTACAAAACAAAAAATATTTTACAAAAAAAAAAAAAAAAACATAGCCTGTGGGAAAAGGTAAAGCGATACTATTTTCTAAAGCGGTTATCTCATTGATGAAAATTCTGGGGTGAGCCGTAGAACATAAAACAAGCAGCCTCACGTATTGATTTACTGCATGAAACAAGGGTTTGGTACCTGCAGTCATTGCTTTCATGTCCATGCTTTCACTCAGCAGGTCTATCATAGTAATGAAATGTTGTAGAAAAGAGTGTTTATCACTACCTCAAGGGCAATTATCTTTCTTACTGAACCCCACATTGCTTAGAAAGTTCTACCCGCAGGCGGAAAGCCATGATGGACAGTCACATTCAAGAGGAGCACAATGAAAAAGATTCAATTATTTATTTATTTCAAATGAGTTTGCGTCTTAAGCTTCTAACAGGTCTTCCTCTGGGGAATCTGACTGGGTGTTTACCAGATATTGTTAGAGGCGTTGAAGTCATATTAACACATCCTGTCAACACTTTGAGTGCAGGAGCTCAAACCCAAGAACACAAATATAATTTAGAAACAGAGGCGGATTCAGCTACAACATCTGTCTGTTATCCTAATGTGACATTTGTTGAACTCCACATACAATATTATATCATCTGTCATTTGGATTGTGTGGAAAAAAATGTTTACATGCAAAGGAAAATAACAAAAAAATAACAAAAAAATATTAACTTAATACACTCAGGCACAAAACGTCTGAAAAATTAACCAGAACTTCCTTCCTTTCCTTCTGTCATTGCAAAATTTTCACATTTTGGTCCACTGCCCTACTTGTACGGGGGCCCCAAGCAGTTGCCTGACTTGTCTGTTGACAAGCAGCGCCTCTGTCTACATGGAAAACATCAAGCCGGAAGAGACAAGAAACTCAGGAAGGTTCCAAAGACGGACTGAAATTTTGTAGAAATTGTCATGACTGCATGTATGAAAACTGCTTTTGAGGCTTTCATTTCCACAACAAATTCTAGTCATTAAGTATTTTTTTCAGTAGTGGCAGCTACTTCAATCTCTATCCATGTTGAACACTTCACCTCCTCACGTTACCTCATCCTGGCCCTGGCATGTGAGCAGAGTGTGGAGCTGCTCTCTGAGGATTGAGTGGTTTCATAAACTAAGCAGTTACTCAATCCCTGGAGGTGTGGATAAGATGTGTTTTTCTCTTAGCTGGGGGACCACTTGAAACATTAATTAGACAAGTCCCTTGCTCTGTGAACACCAGTACTAATGGGGCTCATTCTGAGAAGTGAAGATGCCACTACTCTCGTTTTTGTGTCCTGGGTTGAAATTATAAGCTGTTCAGGTGAGTGATGAAATGGGAGGAATAGCTCAAAAAAGGATAAACGCATAAATCATGTGACACACTTCTGCAAGGATGCACAGTAACCAACATACAGAGTGGAAATGTGGAGAAAAGCACTCAGACAAGACTTGGACTATATGAAAAGACAAACAAATGTTTTTTTTTCCTGTAAGATCCCAAATGAATACAAATTAACATAACTTCAGGCAGGCTTTATATTTTGTAGATGTGCAGCACAGATTCCATTTATAAATATTTAAATATCAGGCTTACAATTCAATGGCTGAATTAAATCACTGAATGAACTTAAATGAAGAAATTCATCATTGTTTTATTCTTTTATGTGCAGACATTTTGAGTACTTTCTTCAGAGCAGACATTTTGCTTCAACAAAAAATAATTTGAATATCTGTATCCAGTGTAATGATGTTATAAGATGTTGCTCACATTTTCAGACAAAATCTAGAAATATGTAGCCTACCATATCTGATGATGCAATTTAAAGTTTTATTTGAATGGTACTTGAATATGCTACCACAGCTTTGAAATTTAGTTTAAATGGTCATAATTCAAACACCTGAATGGCAATAGCTCGGATTTTCTGACGGACGTGTGATGTAATTTAGAAAGAAAAGAGAGCTGAAA